AAATGACATTCCCTCCCTCGTTTGGTTGGTCGGGAATGTCATTCCCGGTAATCTTACATTATCAATAGTAGATTTTTTAGGGTATATTAGCGGGAATGTCATTATTTCTATTTTCTTACGTATTGTTGGATTACTGGTGTTTGGACTAAAATGCCCTTAAATTTTTTCTTTCTTTCAAAAATATTATTTTTCTGTCATTGAATAATAAAAATTATACGAAGGTTAAATTACAAATTTATCCTTAAATTATTTTAGATTTAAAAATAATATATAATTAAAATTTTATATGAAGTTCAGGGGTAAAATAAAATTTTACACTTTCATTAAACCTTTTTATATTTTCAATTTTGTAAAAAAAATTATATAAATTTTATGAATTTAAATTTTTTAAAGAAAATATATAAATATTTTCCAACTTGTTAAAAAAATAAATATATAATAAAGATAATTTGATCAAATATATATTCCAATAATCTTTTATTCCTTTAACCAAATACGATAATCTTACATTCCTGCTAAACCAACCAAACACAAAATATAACATTCCCAGTAATCCTATTCCCTGGTAATCTTTTATTCTAGTTAGTAATCTTACATTCCGTGAAAATAACGCACCCTTAGGATGATCTTTATAGCTAATGTAATTGTTCACTGTTTTTTGGTTATTGTCATGTCACCCGTTTTATACATCAGCAAAGTTATCTTAGGTATAAAAAGTTGGTGTCTATATTAGTAGAAACTAATGGTTCCGTTAGTCGATACGGTCAAAGGTGAAAATTGATACAATTAAACAGCTTCGAGGACAAAATTGATGTGAAAATACGATATGGACGAAATTGATAAATTTAGTCTACTACAAGGACATTTGTGACCCTTAAGCCTTAAATTAAATACTTAATACACTCGTTATTTTAAATTTATATAATTAATCTCCCAATATTTTTTTACAAAGAAAATAAATCTCTCAAATCCCTTATTATGAGAAAATGAACTTTAATCCAAATATCTAATGTTGGGTGAGTTGTCGTTTTATGTTGTCCTTTTCAACGTACGAGTAGCTAGAAACAAGTAGTTGTTATACTGACTAAAAATTATAAAAAAAATAGTTAATTTAACTAGACATCCTCAAATTATGATTTAAATTTTATATTAGTCTTCAAAATGACAAATTTTTAAATAAATTATTAAAATATCAATATCGTATTAATTATGAACGGGGTCAAAAGTTAAAAAATTATATTAAAATTTGAGACAAATTATTAAATTATATATATTTTAGATGATATTTGATTTATTAAATTACATTATGAATTTTACTTGCATATGTAAAAAATATGAAAAATATACATGCATATTGTGTATAGTTGGAGAGAATCGTTTAAATTAAAAACAATCGGTACCATAATATTGTAAATTATTACATTTAAGTTTGCATAAATCTCAGACAAATATACATTTAACTCGATGATACTTGTAAATTCGACTAACTCGATTTTTTCTCATTTAATTTAAATCGACTCGGTCGAATGCTCATTCTTAATAACTATAGATACCATATTTTTCTAATATGTTAAATCCAACTTATTCAAATTAATAGGTACAAACATGTTTTGAATTTACTTCACGTTAGATGCGACTGACTTTGAACATTCAAGTGATGACTAAATTGAAGAAAACACCTTATTAATACAATATTGATAGTACAATAAATAAATTGATATAAGTGTTCAAACTATACGATTTTTTTCAAATAGGTACCTAAACTTATTTAAAAAAATTCAAAACTTTGAAAACCCTGATTTCAATCTTATACACACGCCAACCGCTGCTTTTGGCCGCCATTGTCTTCTACTGAGCCTACCCCTAAACACACATCCACCCAACAATCATTTACCCCTGAACAACCACTCAAAAACCATACCATGATGATGAAATCAACGGTAAGCCCGATGAGACAACGAACTCAATTAAGCTCCCGTAGACTCCGATTGTGGTGGTTCTTCGTCGGGAAAATGGTTGCTAGTTGAAGGCGCAATTGGGTGGAGGTTCGGTCGATGGTAACGACAGCGAGGTCAGCCGCCCAACGTGGGTATAGGGATTAGATTTAGGTTTTTTTTTCAAATGTATTTTTTTTAAGACTTTCGAAAATTTTGGGCTTTTAAATTATAATTTTATTTTTATTTTAAATAAATTTTTGAAATTATATGAACACGATACATGTCCTTTAATGTCAGAATTTAATGATCGTTAAGGCCCGAACACCTAAAATAGTAACGGTTCGAATTTTAAGCACCTGTATGAATCGGAAAAAAATAGACACCTATTTAAAAAAACCGGTATTATCTGTAAACTTATTTTCTAACTAAGCGTAAATTAAAATATTTTAAAATTAGAAATTAATATAAAAAACTGCACTATAATTTAAATTACACTCGAAGAAATTTCTAAAATTAGGTTGAGAAAATGTAATGTGGGTGACCAATTTTCTGGTTTATTGAAACATCAGCACTTCAGAGGCAAAGTAGTTCATTTTATTTAATAAAGTTTGGTTGGTTAGCAGCTCGTATAAAATGGCTGTCCCTTGTTCCCATATATAATGAGGTAAGGGGGAGATAGTAGACAACCTTCGTATGTTGCAGGCAAATCAAGCACCAAAGAAGGTACACCCCTACCCTATTTGACCAATTAAACAATAAAATAAATATTTTCTTATTTGAATTTGGTTCAGTTTTTTATTCATTTTTCACTTCTTTCTCTCTCTTTTTTTTTTACAATTTAACATGTCTATAATGTTAGTGACCAAAACATCACTTTTCAAACGTTAATGGTAAAAACAATAAAGTTACTCAAATAGAAGCGATATTCGTGTAATTTATCCTATCGTGCTGTACGAGTTCGGCAGGAATAGTATGATGGAGTAGAGAGGGCAACATGGCTAAAATTAATCAGTTCACCCAAAGAAGAATATTGGGCGGTTGGCAATAATTATCATTATAAATATAATTTTTTTAAATATTTAGTTTATCAATAAAATACTTTAGATTAAATATTTTAAATATTTATTATGTGAATAATTACCTTAATTTGATTTACTTTATTTATAATGTTAAAATTTAAATTTAGGATAAAGTATGGAAATGGTCCCTCGACTATAGGATACTATTTTATTAAGTCTATCGACTATTAAAAATTACAAAATGATCATCTGACTATAGAGTATTGCTTTGTTGAGTCTCTCGACAATTAAAAATTACAATATGATCACTTGACTATTCATTATGTTCTAAGCTCGTCCTTTTATGTTAAAAATTAACGGTATTATGAGCTGAACGTTAACATGTTAACCGTGATATGATAAAATCTAATCCCAGAATATCAAATGACTATAATATTTCATTCATCATGTTAACGTCTAACTTAGACAACTATTAATTTTTTAACAGAAAATGATGAGTTTGGAACATGATGAATAGTTGGGTGACCGTTTTATGGCTTTTAATAGCCGAGGGACTTAACAAAATAACATTATATAACTGGAGGACCATTTTGTAACTTTCAATAATCGATGAACCTAATAAAATAGTACACTATAGTCAGAGGGCCATTTGTGACAAATTTAAAATATATTTGATTTAGATTCCATTTAAATCAAATCAAATTAAATCAAACATCAAATTAAATTAATATCATGGGCGAGTTTGGTATTGTTTTCTAAAACCACTTTGAGCTAAAAAAAATCCGTTTTAACTACAAAATCAATGTCAAATGGATAAAATATGAAGAAAAAAATTGTTGTGAAAACAATGGTTTTAAACCAATTGCAAAAGCTATAGTTTATAGCCTTTTGTTTTCGATTTTGCGTTTGGAAACAAATTATAAATTGCCTTTACTAATACATGGACTCCACTCAATTACGTATTTATTTTTTTTATTTTAATAATTTAATAATAACATCCTTAAAAATAATTTATTATTTTTAATAATTTATTTTAATTATTTAAAAATAAATAAAATTCATGATTTATAAGTTAAAAATATTAATAGCAGTTAAATGAAATATATTTATATTTATAGTTTTCAAATTTTTATTATAATTTAAATTGATATAATTCATATATAATTTTGAATTTTTTTGGTACACTATAAATTTAGGTTAGGGTGGCTCCCCCAATTTAGGTCAAGTCATACCTAAGACCCAATTGGGATTTACATAGGACTTTATAGATTACCCACCAAAGAGTGAGGGTGGTGAGATTCGAACTTGACTTTATAACATCAAATTCCTGAATCTCAATTACTTGTGTTAACACTCATTGGCATATAATTTTGAATTTATTATAGCCTAAATTGATATGATTCATATATAAGTGTTATATAATTTAAATGTTATATTTTTAATTTACAACGTAATGTTTATAATCAATATTTTATCTTTTCAAATTCATATTTTAATACTAATCTCAAACAATTAAATAGTAAAATTTACTTTTATTCAACATTTTTAAAAATTCATTTCTACGTTACGGTAAATTCTAAAAATATTTTTCAATAATTACACTGACCAAAATCAATCAAATTTTAAATTAAATCAAAATAATAATAAAATATATAAAAAATATATAAAAAACTTATATAAATTATTAAAATGATAATAAAAGGCTAAAAAATATATAAAAAAATATTGGTATTGTTCTAGTTAGTGCTGACAAATAAATAAATAAATAAACTTTTTGTGGTCACAAATCTTTGTTATAAATAGTACCAAAAGTTATTGAACTATACTTTTTATTGAATAGCTATTGAAATATATTTAAATAATCATTTTATTCACTAAATTTTAAAAATTATAAAATAATTTTCATGAAAATATTATTAAATAATTATTAAATTTAACAAACTTCTACACTTACTATAACATGATAATGATCAAAACGATCATTTGAACATAGTTTAAGGACCTTTTATGAATTTTAACCATCTCTGTTTATAGCATCTCTATTTTTCGCTTCTTTTTTATTTCGTTTCTTTCGAAAGTATTTTAGCAGTTCTTTTACTATAAAACCTTCATTCCTGAGATTGCCAATGTATTTTACCATCTCTTCTTCGGTTTTCCGATTGATGGAAAGCTAGATTTTGACTAAACTCAGATAAAAAATCCAATCTTTGATAACCCCCCCCCCCCATAACCCAAATCTCCACAGTCTTTCAAATTTGCGGGGTTTCCGGTAATTTTTGGGTTAGTTTTCTGGGGATGGCATCTTCATCACTGGCGAGTCCGCTATGCATGTGGTTGGTGGCTGCTTGCATGTCTGTCACGTGCGGGAAAGACCAGTCACAGTCGTCAATGCTCCGTTCATCAGCTTCTTCTTCCAAGAGACTCGGCCATTGGGCTCGTACTAGGAGGAGAGCTCTCCTTTCTCAATGCGGCGGCGGCTCAGACAGCAACCAAAACGGGGGCTTGATTTCGTCGCTTTGTGGATTCGGCATTCAAGGCTTGATGACTTCGTGTTTAGCTTTTGAGCCCTGTGATGAGTACTATTCCTCCAAAAACAGTGGCCTTTTTGGTCAAAATGGAAGCCTTTCTTCTTTGTTTGGATCCAAAAACGTTCCCTTTAATAACAATCGCAAGCAAAGAAGACTCAATCGAGCAGCTGTCCATTCTGGTAAAAAAATTAGCAATTTTGGAATTGAAAATGAAAAAAAAAATTGAATATAGAAATCTAATAAGCTGAGATATACTGATACTCATACACCCAGGTTTTGTTTTAACTATGAAAAATTTATGATTCAATTGAAATATAATGATTAATTGAGAGTTGGAAATGCAGTTGAATTCAAGCTGCTATTAGTTCTATGGTGATGAGAGATCATTTGTTTCTATGATCATGTAATCTCAAGAAAAAAGAAATGACAAGTGTGCAATTTTTTATTCATAATCATTAAATTATGAATATCATAGATCTTGGTCTGTCTACCCCCTTGCTTTCAGTTCTTATTATCCCTGGCCAGATAGGTATGCTGATATCCGTTTTTTGGTCTCGTCGTCTTGTCTTGATGAGCATTTTGTTAGATTCGCTGCCACCTTCGATATAAAATAAGAACATATTTGTCTAAGCATACTAGATTTCTGGCTTTTTTGTATGTACATCATCTGCTAAATGGTGGTGATAGAGGAAACGTTCTTATGTATATCATCTGCTAAATGGTGGTGATAGAGGAAACGTTCTTCATGCATATGATTTCATGTAATTCACCGGTTAAGTTACGTGTGATCGACGGGTTAATTTATTTAATAATGTAGGAGAAGCCATGGCTGTAGATGTGCAACCCACAAGAGAAATCTCGACAAAGAAGAAACCTCCTACGAAAAAAAGACGAGTTGTTGTGACGGGGATGGGAGTGGTGACACCGCTCGGACATGATCTCGACGTCTTCTACAACAACTTGCTTGAGGGTGCTAGTGGTATAAGCGAAATCGAGACTTTCAACTCTGCACTGTTTCCAACCGTAAGTCGTGTTTAGTATCTCTCAGCTGCTTTCGTTTGCACTAGCGCTTGTTCTTAATGCTCCCGTTTTCTCTCCAGAGAATTGCTGGAGAGATAAAATCTGTCTCGGCTGATGGTTGGGTTGCACCGAAACTTTCCAAGAGGATGGACAAGTTCATGCTTTATATGCTTATTGCTGGAAAGAAAGCGTTGGAAGACGGTGGAGTTACTGAAGATGTAATGGATGAGTTAGATAAAGCGAAATGCGGAGTTCTGATTGGCTCAGCAATGGGTGGTATGAAGGTATATTCTGCAATTTACAGTTCACATGCCTTTATTTTATAACAACAATGGACACTTAGATATAAGAAATACTGACAGCAATTACGTGCATACTGCATACTTTAATTTGAGAGTCGTACAATTTTGTAATACTAGCTTAGCGTTTATAGTCGGCCTTGATGACGGAAAACCTCTTGAATCACAAGTGACATAGTGTCTGTACTACCCCACATGAGGGCATGCAACCTTGAGAAACAAACTGATTTTGTAGTTAGTTTTCCTTTGTAGTTCCATTGATTCATTTATGTGGTTTCGGGATTGAAAAGGTTTTCAATGATGCAATTGAAGCTCTGAGGATCTCGTACAAGAAGATGAATCCTTTTTGCGTACCATTTGCTACCACAAATATGGGCTCGGCAATGCTTGCAATGGATTTGGTGAGCTTAAATTTAGAATTCGCAATGTTAAGATAGATGTTGAACTTCGACCTTTAACCTGATGACTTCTTCAGGGATGGATGGGGCCTAACTATTCAATCTCCACTGCATGCGCGACAAGCAACTTCTGCATATTAAATGCAGCAAACCACATCACCAGAGGCGAAGCTGTAAGTTGAGGAAAGAGAAAATCCAATATATTCGTAGTTTGTTTTTATTACTCTGTATCTGAGGTATTCGAAACGAAATCGCAGGATGTGATGCTTTGTGGTGGCTCAGATGCAGCAATTATACCGATTGGTGTGTATATCTCTTTCTCCTTTTTGTAGTCGACATCATTCTCCAATCTTTCCAGTTGGTACAAGCAGGATATACTCGACTTTATGAATTTTTATTCAGGGTTGGGAGGATTTGTGGCATGCAGAGCACTTTCTCAAAGGAACAACAATCCCACCAAAGCTTCACGCCCATGGGATGCTGTAATCTTTCAATAACTCTTGAGCTTCCGGAGTTTCATTTCTCTTTTGCTGTTTGTTACTTCGTTTTACCAAGTTCTTTCTAATCCTAGGTGGTGAAATGCACATAATATTCTCGGTTTTCTTCGTGAGTGTTATTTACCTGGATAATGGTTCTAACTTTTACACAGAATCGTGATGGATTTGTCATGGGGGAAGGTGCTGGGGTTCTGCTTTTAGAAGAACTTGAGCACGCTAAGGTACGCTTTCTTCGACCCTACAAGCCTTGTTTGAGCCATAGGTTTTTCACCTAGTGGTTTATGGTGAAGTTTCGGGGAATGCACATTACTTTCCTTCTTAGAAGCGAATGTTATCGAGTTTAGGTTTCTGATTTTGCAGAGGAGAGGTGCGACCATCTATGCAGAATTTTTGGGTGGAAGCTTCACTTGTGATGCTTACCACATGACCGAGCCACACCCTGATGGTAACGAGCCTCGTCTTTACTACTGCAAATCATTCTTCTTTAACCCGAAACTTATTTCTATCCAGCGTTTCATTGCACAGCGTTTGTTCCGATGAGACTTTTAGAGCATTTTTATTTGAATAATGTTGTATGCTACTAGGCTATGGAGTTAAGAGGAACCTTAGGTCAACTTCTTGGTCTATGGTTTCGGTATTCGTTGCACGATTGGCACTCCTATTCACTATATATAGTTATGAACTATTAAACTAACATCGATCTTGTGAAATCGAAAAAATTAGGAATTGGTGCCATTCTCTGCATAGAAAAGGCCCTGGCTCAGTCCGGTGTACCGAGAGAAGATGTAAATTACATTAATGCTCATGCTACATCTACACCATCTGGAGACATTAAAGAATACCAGGCTCTCCTTCATTGCTTTGGCAAGAATCCAGAGGTAATTTTTCCGTATTATTCTCTGATACTTGCATCTACCTGCAATATGCTTTCATATTTCTGCATCGTGATGAGATCTCGTTATTTGCAGTTGAAAGTGAACTCTACGAAATCAATGATCGGTCACCTACTAGGAGCTGCCGGTGCTGTGGAAGCTGTTGCAGCAGTACAAGTGCGCCGAGCTTTGATTATGTTTTTCTTTTCTTTTTACAGAACTTGAGCATTGACAAGGTAATGCTTATTTATCGTAGGCAATAAAGACTGGTTGGGTCCATCCGAACATCAATCTAGAAACCCCAGATGAAGGAGTGGTATGTTGCCGTTGCGCCTTCCCTTATTTTTCTTCTAAAGTTATGCTTCGTGGCAGCTCGACTTCCATCTTATATCGCCGACAATCTTAATTCAGGACACGAACGTGCTCGTAGGGCCGAAGAAAGAAAGATTGAATGTAAATGCGGCATTGTCTAATTCTTTTGGGTTTGGCGGCCACAACTCCTCCATCATCTTTGCACCATACAAGTAAAAGAGTTCGATCATTGCTCTACCAGTGATTTTTCGAATCTGGCTGAAGGTATGTAAGTTCTCTTATGGACACCTCAGAATCCGCCGATATATATAACTTCTGTCGGTGATTGGGCTCGGGAACTCCGTTGACGCGGTTGGCTACCAATGCAGGGCGTGGTACCAACAAAATATATCGTCTGTAGACAAACGTCACCTGTATAAGGGTTATTATACAACGTATAGCTTGTGAAATAGTTGGAGCTTTGGAGAAGTCGGAAGGAGGAGAGAACGTTATCGGTTGTCGCCGTGGACTGTGTCGTTGTCGTCTGTGGAGATCTCCTTTTCTCTCGATATCGAGCTGCAACGGAGCTTTTAGTCGTTTTTTTTAAGTTGACATTGGCCATTAAAGTTGTGGTAGATGTTAATCTTTGTTATCATCTACGAGAAACAATGACTGCATAATGTTTGCATATAAGTGGTCCCTAAGTTGTGTTAGGTTTGTGATATGATCTCTAAACTTATAATGATTGCATATAAGTCCCCATTTGTGATGGAATGATTATGAATATCTAATTATACCATTTATTAGTTTAATACTTGTATATAATTAGCATATATATGTTGGGAACCGTTGAAAGTATTAAAATGGTTTTCAAGTTTGGTAACAACTTTGAAAAAAATGATTTTCAAAGTTTGGTAAATGTTTCTTTGAAAATGGTTTTCAAAGTTTGGTAAATGTTTCTTTGAAAAATAGTTTTTCAAAGTTTGGTAGATGTTTGTTGAAAAATGATAATGGGATAATCACAATTAATCCCTAGGTTTTAGGGTATTTACAAGATTAAGTCCTTAAGTTTCAACTATAAATACCCTAGCTCATTTAGCTTCAAAATCATCCCAAAAATCATTTCTCTCTCCAAATACTAGAGAGTTTTCTTGTGAGTAGTGAGTGTTTTGTAAACACCTGTAAATTTTCTCTCTTAGTAAAAGATCTGCAGCAGTCCGGAGACGTAAGCACAATTGGCTGAACTCCGTTATCAATTTCGGGTATTATTTTTCCGCTTTTATTTTGCATTCTCACTAATCTGGTTATAGGGAAATTATTTGTACTTGGTTTATTTCCCAACAACTGGTAATCAGAGCTTTTAGGTTGTGAATTTTGTCAATTTTTTGTGAGGTTACTATTCGGGTTACTATTCAAGTGAATAGTGAATTTCATGAATAGTGAAATTCGGCCGGCGATACGAGTTTGTCGACGGAGGTGTTCTAATACACGGCGGTTCGCAAAAATTGTCAGAAACGATCCAAACGAAGCCAGATTCGAGTGGGAGCGATGGCTGCAGACGAAGGGAAGGTGAAAATTGAAAAGTTCGATGGTGCGGACTTTGGATTTTGGAAGATGCAAATTGAAGATTTTTTATACCAGAAAAATCTATATCAACCCTTCTTAGGAAAACAACCAGAGGGCATGAAGAATGAAGACTGGGCTCTTCTCGACAGACAAGCCCTCGGAGTTATCCGACTGACGTTATCCCGCAATGTTGCTTTCAACATAGCAAAGGAAAATACAACGGCGGGTCTTATGACGGCTCTCTCCAGTATGTATGAGAAGCCATCGGCCTCAAACAAAGTTCATTTGATGAGGCGATTGTTCAATTTGCGGATGAAAGAAGGGGCATCGGTGGCACAACACATAAATGAACTCAACACAATCACAACCCAGCTGAGTTCAGTGGAAATTGAATTTGATGATGAAGTTCGAGCTTTAATTCTCTTATAATCTTTACCAGACAGTTGGAATGCTACTGTTACAGCAGTCAGCAGTTCGTCGGGAAACAACAAATTAAAATTCGACGATGTTCGGGATCTGGTACTGAGCGAAGAAATTCGACAGAGAGAATCGGGTGAAGCATCAACCTCCTCAGCCTTGCACACGGAGTCCAGAGGGAGAACTTCAGAAAGAAATTCAAATCGTGGCAGATCGAAATCCAGAAGGGGAAAATCAAGAACAGGAAATAAAGATTTTACCTGTTATAATTGCGGCAAGAATGACCACTTCAAAAGAGATTGCCGAGCACCGAAGAAAAATACCGGCGCACAGGAATCTGCCAACATGACGGAGGAGACAGGTGATGCCATGATTTTAAGCGTCAACAGTCCGATTGAATCATGGATTTTGATTCAGGGGCATCTTTCCACTCCACGCCATGCCAAGAAATCATGGAGAACTATGTCAGTGGTGATTTTGGGAAGGTTCATCTTGCTGATGATGAAACCTTGAAGATCGTCGGAAAAGGAGACATCCGACTAAAGCTGCCAAACCAGACCACCTGGAAGCTGACAGGAGTGAGACATATTCCTGGTCTCAAAAGAAATTTGATTTCTGTAGGACAGCTTGATGGAGAAGGATACAGTACAACCTTTTCAGGTTGTGAATGGAAGATTACCAAAGGAGCACTCGTCATTGCTCGTGGTAAGAAGACTGGTACTCTCTATGTAACCTCAAATTTAGAGAATATCATTGCAGTAGCAGATGCTGATGGAAAATCAAACCTATGGCACCAAAGGCTTGGCCATATGAGCGAGAAAGGGATGAAGACACTTTTGTCAAAGGGGAAGCTGTCGGATCTAAAGAATGTAGATGTCGGACTATGCGAGGATTGCATCTTTGGCAAACAAAAGAAAGTCAGCTTTGCAAAGATTGGTAAGACACCCAAGGCTGAAAAGTTAGAGTTAGTTCATACTGATGTATGGGGACCATCTCCAGTTCCATCTCTTGCAGGCTCATTATATTATGTCACCTTCATCGATGATTCTACAAGGAATGTGTGAGTTTATTTTCTGAAGAAAAAATCAGAAGTCTTTGATACATTCAGAAAATGGAAGGCCATGGTGGAAAATGAGAATGGTATGAAAGTTAAGCGGTTGAGGTCTGACAATGGAGGAGAGTACAGAAATAGGAGATTTATAGATTTTTGCGCAAACAATGGGATCAAGATGGAGACAACAGTTCCCATGACACCGCAGCAGAATGGCGTAGCAGAACGCATGAACAGAACTCTGAATGAACGTGCCAGAAGCATAAGGATACATGCCGGATTGCCCAAATTTCTATGAGATGAAGCTATTAACACTGCAGCTTACCTGATCAACCGTGGGCCCTCAGTTCCTTTGGATGACAGAATACCAGAGGAAGTTTGGAGCAAGAAAGAAATAAACCTTTCACACTTAAGAGTGTTTGGTTGTATTTTTTATGTACACATAGAATCTGCTGAAAGAAGTAAACTTGATGCTAAGTCCAACAAATGTGCCTTGTTGGTTACGGCGGTGATGAGTTCGGTTATCGATTTTGGGACTATGAAAATCGGAAGATCATTAGAAACAGAGATGTCATTTTCAATGAGAATGTGATGTACAAAGACAGGTCAACTGTAGAATCAAGCAGCTCCAATACCAAAGCTGAAACAAAGGAATTTGCTGAGTTTGAGGAGATTTCTATAAATGATGTTCAGACCAGTCCTGAAGCAGTTCAAGAAGAACCAGGCACACCGGAACTAAGACGCTCCTCCAGAATTCCTAAACCAACCCAACGGTATTCTCCTTCTTTGCACTACTTGTTGCTGACTGACAATGGTGAACCAGAGTGCTATGATGAAGCAATGCAAGTGGAGGATTCAGTCAAGTGGGAGTCTTCCATGAAAGATGAGATGAACTCGCTTTTGTCAAATCAGACGTGGGAATTAGCTGAATTACCACCAGGCAAGAAAGCGCTTCACAACAAGTGGATTTACAGGATCAAAGAAGAGCACGATGGGAGCAAACGCTACAAAGCGAGATTGGTTGTCAAAGGTTTTCAGCAAAAAGAATGTATTGACTACAATGAAATTTTCTCTCCACTCGTGAAACTGTCTACAATCAGACTGGTGTTGAAAATTGTAGTTGCAGAGAATTTACATCTTGAGCAGTTAGATGTAAAGACAGCTTTCCTTCATGGTGATTTGGAGGAAGAAATCTATATGAGGCAGCCAGAAGGCTTCATAGAGGCAGACAAGAAAAACCTGGTATGCAGGTTGAAGAATAGCTTGTATGGTTTAAAACAAGCTCCTAGACAGTGGTACAAAAAGTTCGATAGTTTCATGAGTAGCAGTGGTTTTACCAGATGCCAAGCAGATCATTGTTGCTACATCAAGAGGTTCGACAATAGCTTCATTATTTTATTGTTGTACGTTGATGACATGCTCGTTGTAGGCTCAGACATGCAAGAGATTATAAACTTGAAGCAAAAATTGTCAAAGCAGTTTGCTATGAAGGATCTGGGCGCTGCAAAGCAGATTCTTGGGATGAGGATCAAGAGAGACACAAAGTCAGGGACTTTGATATTATCACAGGCTGAGTACATCAACAAAGTACTCTCCAGGTTCAACATGCAAGATGCTAAACCAGTAAGTACACCTTTAGGTGTTCATTTCAGACTCTCCAAAGAACAGTCACCAAAGACGGAGGAAGAACGTGCACACATGGTGAAGGTGTCGTATGCCTCAGCGATTGGAAGTCTGATGTATGCCATGGTTTGTACCAGACCAGATATTGCTCAAGCAGTGGGAGCTGTTAGCAGGTAGATGAATAATCCGGGCAAGGTACACTGGGAAGCAGTCAAATGGATCCTCAGATATCTGTAGGGTACCCCAAACAAAGCACTTTGTTTCAAAGGTGGAGATACGATACTGACAGGCTATGTAGATGCTGACTTAGCCGGAAATATTGACATCAGAAGGAGCACTACAGGGTATGTCTATACTCTAGGAGGAACCGCAGTGAGTTGGGTTTCTCAACTACAGAAGATAGTTGCTCTCTCCACAACTGAAGCAGAATATGTCGCTGTTACGGAAGCTAGCAAGGAGATGGTTTGGCTCCAAAGTTTCTTGGAAGAGTTAGGCAATAAACAAGAAAACAATGTCTTGTATTGCGACAGTCAAAGTGCTATACATCTAGCAAAGAATCCATCTTTTCATTCCAGGACAAAGCATATACAATTGCGATATCATTTTATCCGGTCTCTTCTGAAAGAAGAGATTTTGAAACTTGAAAAGATCAGTGGAGCTCAAAATCCGGCAGATATGTTGACAAAGACGGTGACTACAGACAAACTGAAGTTGTGTTCAACTTCAGTTGGCATGCTAGAGTAACGAGACTAGAAAAGCTGTTGCATTGATCGAGGTGTGAAGACATATTAAAATCAGTCTTCAAGTGGGAGATTGTTGAAAGTATTAAAATGGTTTTCAAGTTTGGTAACCAACTTTGAAAAAATGGTTTTCAAAGTTTGGTAAATGTTTCTTTGAAAAATAGTTTTTCAAAGTTTGGTAGATGTTTGTTGAAAAATGATAATGGGATAATCACAATTAATCCCTAGTTTTTAGGGTATTTACAAGATTAAGTCTTTAAGTTTCAACTATAAATACCATAGCTCATTTAGCTTCAAAACCATCCCAAAAATCATTTCTCTCTCCCAATACTAGAGAGTTTTCTTGTGAGTAGTGAGTGTTTTGTAAACACCTGTAAATTTTTTCTCTTAGTAAAAGATCTGCAGCAGTTCGGAGACGTAAGCACAATTGGCTGAACTCCGTTATCAATTTCGGGTATTATTTTTCCGCTTTTATTTTGCATTCTCACTAATCTGGTTATAGGAAAATTACTTGTACTTGGTTTATTTCCCAACATGAACACTGTTGTCTTATTGTCTAATTATTAATCAAGAGCTAAGAATGACTTCAGGGCGATTTTATGCGATCTGGTGATCTGCTAAGTTATCAACAGACGAACATCAGTACTAGCACTAACACCGCCGCCCCCGTTCCTCAATTTCAACACTCCCTCCCAACTCCCCCACCACTCGTTACAGTCGGCGCCACCGCCGTTAACGTTAACGTCACTCTCTTCTCCGTCATGTTCGTAATAAACAGTCAACTTAAACTTCCCTCCGGTCACCACTCCTCTGCAAACTAACAGCGGAACGCTAGTCTTCACGACCGAAGCTGAAGGGCCCGGCTCGCTATCGGGTTTGGGAACCGGTGGAGACTCGTCTCGGGCACGATCGGAAATGGACGTCGACGGCTTTGGGTCGTTGCTTTGAACATACCCTGATGAAACGGCGGCTCCGGCCTGATCCTCCAAAAACTAAGCACAGCCGTGACAACAGCGATCCTCGTCTAGAGATTATTGACAACCGTGAAAATCCCGAAGCTTACATAGTTCAAATGCTAAAGCTTCGAGCGGAGAATCCAAAAACTGATTCATTTCGGTTCTGTAAAAGGAAAAACAATCTGTCTATTACGTATAAATGGTAAGATTCATGGGATAATCAAACGGAGAGCAAGTTGAGGGTTGAACTGTTGAAGGAGATGCCCAGAATCTTAGAGGGAAGATGCTAATTTGCTAAGAACCATACAGTTGCTTGCATGGAATTGTTCTTTTTTTTACTCTTTCTGAATTTATCGTCGTTGTTTTTTCTTCATTACAAATTGGTGACACGTGTGAGTTGTCAGTGGTTACTATTTATCGTCCCTTGCCCTTCTCGCAAAGCTGACTGACCATTGGTGTGAATTGCATTAGAATATAAGTGAATTTTGGTTTATAAAATGATTTAATTTCTCTCCAGTCCTTGTACTTTTTATTCATTTTTTATAAAGGTATAAACCATTTTTTAATATTTGATAAAATCGTCACTCTAACTCTTATTTTAAGCAATTTAGCCCTTAATATTTATTTTTGGTTAAAATGATCCATTTAAGATGAAAACTATTATTTAATGTAGGGAAGAGCATGATATTTAGACCTAAATAGTTCCAACATGACTCTATAAACTATATTATTATTATTTTTTAATTTGGGTTCAGATGGAGTTAAATGTTTTTAAAGGTGAGGTTAGGTTAGATTTAAGATTAGGATAAAAGATCTTCGACTTAATCCGAGATATTTATCTCTTATATATTTAGAGATAATTGTAATAATACATCTCTTTATATAATATATATATATATATATATATATATATATATATATATATATATATATATATATATTCAATTAGCTCAATATTTTACGAATAAAAATGAGGATTATATATGTATATCTATATATTTGTGTTAGTCAGATTGGCTATATTGGTAACTCAAACATGATAGATGGATTGCCGCATCAACAATGTGGACCGTTACGTCAGCACCGTAAATTGACACGTCAGTACTATAATGGTCAACGACGAAAAACACTGATCAAAGGATCATATTGGATTTGTTTTCTTAGTTAGAGGACCGCATTGAGAGAAAAATAATATAAATACCAAAGTTTTTTTTTTCTTCAAAAATACAAATACCTTTATGTCTTATTTTCTTTACCGGAAAAAGATAGCAGAAACCAAAAAATGAGAAGGCCAGAAAACTCCAACCTCCGACACAGTCGCTTTACCGGAAGCAAATGTTCCTCTGACAATCAATGAAACACTCCCAAATAATCAAAACCCAGACCAACAACAACTACCGACTTCCATTCCACTAACCATTATTTTGTCTTTCTGGCGTTTGTTCTTCGGTTAAAACAACGACCGACCATATTCAGGTAAGAATCTTTCCCTCTTCTTTTTTGGGTTCAAACGCCAGATTCAGCAATGGGCAACCAAGGCGGTGGCGAGTCCGGCGGAATCCGGCAGTTCATCAGGCTGAATGAAATCCTCGAAAAGTGGCACCCGGAAGAAAAGCACGGTGTTTTCTCACCGGAGATTAACGCAAGGCTAAAACACCTCACGTGTTATGATTCTGACGAGGAGAACTGCCACGGTCTCGAACCACCGCCGGATGTGCCGAAGGGGTATTTGGCAGTTTACGTGGGGATGGAGCTCCGGAGGTTTATAATCCCGACGATATACCTCAGCCATCCCATCTTCACGATTTTGCTGGAGAAGGAGGAGGAGGAATTCGGGTACGGCCACAACGGCAAACTCACTCTTCCCTGTGAAATCGAGAAGTTCAAGTATCTCCTTAAATGTATAGAGGACGATCCTAAGGATCATCACCCTCATGCCAACTCCGTTTCCCAACAGGTTCTTATCTGTTCTTTAACCTAAATAGCCATCATCGACTGCGATAGCCTCCGCTATATGGCGGGAGTGATATTCTCTGTGATCGTTATTATATGATCACGATACCTGCAATCAACGCAATAACATCTGCTATATTCGTAATGTAACAAAAAACGTGATCGCAGTCGTAATTTGAATCTCTGCATGTACCCTTCCAAAAACTTTACATTAACACAAGAGTTTCTTTTGTTTTTGCAGGTGCAGATGAATTAAAAGGTGTGGGGTTCAACGTTGTTCACCATGTAAGCAGAGTGTGGTTCGGGATGATCTGCTCCAAGCCTGGGCTCATATCATTGTTTATATGCCTTCCTGTTTTATTCTGAATTGCACAGAAATGGATTGAGGATATTTTTGGGTGATTACATTTATGTAAATTTTATTTTTTTTATATAATTTAAAAATATTCTTTTTTGCTGGTGATTGAATTTTATATATTTTATAATCGAGTGAATTACGCGTTTACTACACAGTCTATCAGTTTTAGTAGTTAAATTTTTAATACTTTCAAAACTATACTTAACGTTCAGTTTTTGTTTCATTTTATTACCTCATCGTTAGAAACTTAACCGATGGACTCATCGACAGTCGCGTCTACAATCGCCGGCCGATGAAGCCCAAACTCTTCAACTCGTATCTTTTTGACCCCCGAACGTGATAATGACATTCGTTTTATCGAAAAATGTTTTAATCTCCCTAAATCGATGATGGACTATTCGACTTATTCATCCTCAGATTTCGTCGTCAACCGTCCGATGGACCTGAAATTGGACTATGTTGGTCGACTCGTCATTCTCTCGTGGTTCACCGTTCGGATTGGTCGTCCGTGCACTGGAGCTATGCCCCGTTAGCCCGTCTGTTTAGTTTTTAACAACGGGTACTAAAATGAAACAAAAACTACATGTTAGATATAATTTAAAAAAAAGAACAAAAGTTTAAATACTAAAATGTTTTAAAAACTAAACTGATAATGATTTTAAAATATATTAAAATTAATTAAATCAAAATATAATGATCAAACACTCAATTTATACGTAATAAATAGAGTTTTGGCAAAATTTAACCATTACTTACATTTTATTTCAGGAAATAATATGGTTTCAATGTAATTATTGAATAAAAATAATATATGTATATATTTGGGTCCTACAAGATTTTTATTCAAAAATTGGATTAAATTTCGGACTGAGTAGTGCTTTATAAATTGGAATCAAATCGAATAATTGATGAAAGGATATAATACTTAGATTGAATTCGAATAGACTAAAAATTCGATAAGATTAGATCCAACCCAGCATCATATCTTAGTTGGTTGGTTAACGTGCAGATTGAAAAGCGAAGCTAACATGTCGTGCATTTCTCTCTTGTTTTACTTCGTCGTATTTTTAGAATTTTTCTTCTTCTTAATTTTACTCACTAAACTTTATATATTGATTTTTTTTTATCATTCTATCGTTAAATAATTAAAAGCTTTATGACGTGGCTGTATTTTAATCAAAATGACGTCGTTTTAGTCTAAAATTTAATTTTTTTAGGAATTCAAAACGGCGTCATTTTGATGTGAGTTGTCATGTCTTAATTTCGTTTAATTATTTAATGGCCGAATGACAAAAAAATCAATTTATAAAATTTAACGAGTAAATTAAAAGTACAGTAAATGAAATAATAGAAAAGGTAAAGTTCAATTACCAAACGTGTAATTTACCCATACAATTTTAAAAGAAAATCAACGATATTTTAGTAAGTATCGATCATACACTATGCTGTTATCACGTTCGAAAAAAAGAGAGAAAACAATGCATTAATCATACTTTTTTACATAAATATCTAACTTAATCCATATTTATGTCAATTTCTTGGGCAATACTCAAAAAACAAGAATCTTGGGCAAAAAGTTTTCCTTTTAAAAAAAAATTAAGTTGGTAATTCCATTTCTATTGGTGGAGTTAGCTCAGATCATTTAGGGTTACCAGTTTTAGTTCAGTGGTCACTCTCCTATATAATCAATGCCATTCATGCTTCCTTAGACCACACTTCTCCATTATTTTTCTTTCAATCCATTGCCTTTTTCTTCGGTAGGTCCTTCAATCTTCAACTCCACAATTTTTTTGTATTTTTTTTGGTTTTTTAGACCCTCAAAATCACCATTTACACCAAGTTTTCTGGGTTTTTTTTTTTTAAATATTGATTGCCTTCTTTTAGAAAACAAGTTGGATTTTTTTAACTTCTTTGACAGTAGGTACTGTTTGTATTGTAGTTAGATGTAGTGCTAGTAATCTCCACCCACTTTGTGTTAATTTTATCAAATTTAATGGCGTTAATTAGGTATCTCCAATGCGTCTGTCCAGCTTTTCCAGTGCTATATAACTCTGCATTTTTTCTCATTTTATCCATAGCTTGATATTTTCCATTCATCTCTTCAAGTTTTCTGTTTGAAGGAACTTGAAAACAATGGCTGCAGTTTCCATTTGTGAGCGTTTGGGTGAATCTCTAGCTACCCATCCACAGCTAGCCAAGTCTATCTTCTCGAGGTAAGCCCTGCATGCCATGATCTTTCTTAGGGTGTTTCTTGTTTGTGAATTTTGATTACATTTGTTCATGTGTGATGCAGTATTGAAAGCCTCGGAAAGGGTATTCATAAGTCCCAGAAGCTGCTCTCGGTTCTTGAAAAGGAGACCGGAAAAGAAGTGTTCGACGGGGTTGTCGTCGATGTCCTTAGGTCCACTCAGGTGACAAGGGATAACCCTTTTCTCTGTTTATGTTTTTCTTGATGATGATTTGATGAGGATATTGGATTTGATGCGTTTATGTTGTCTAATAGGAAGCTGTGGTGTCGTCTCCGTCGGTTGCGCTTGCGATTCGTTCGGCTCCTGGTGTTTGGGAGTACATTGCTGTGGATGTCCAAAAGCTTTTTGTAGAGGAATTGCCGGTTGCCGAGTACTTGAAGTTGAAGGAAGAGATTGTTGATGGAAGGTATGCAGCTTTAGGCCTCTTTATGTTTTAAGTTTTCGAGTTATATCGAACAATGCCCGATGTCGAGTTGTGTTTCAGCTCCAACGGGGGAGTTCACGTTGGAATTGGACTTTGGTGCATTCAACAACTCTGTTCCTCGTCCAACTCTTTCCAAGTCCATTGGTAATGGCATGGAATTCCTTGATCGTCACCTTTCTTCCAAGCTGTTTCAAGACAAGGAGAACTTGAACTTGTTGCTTGAATTTCTCCAAATTCATTGCCAGAAGGGAAAGGTAACCGATTAACGATTTGTCGATTGTTTTCCGTTGCAGCTTCTAATGCATCGAAACTTAAGAATAGTTCTCTGTAATGTCACAGGGTATGCTGTTGAACGAAAGAATTCGAGATGTGAACTCCCTGCAACATGCATTGAGGAAGGCTGAGGAGTATCTGAATTCCGTTCCATCCAACACTGCATACTCGGTTTTCGAGAAAAGGTTCAAGGAGATTGGTTTGGGGAAGGGATGGGGTGATAATGCCGAGCATGTTCTCGAGACGATCCATCTTCTTCTGGATCTCCTGCAAGCACCCGATCCAGTCACTCTAGAGACCTTCCTCGGAAGGATCCCATTGGTCACCAATGTTGTTATCATGACTCCTCATGGATACTTTGCTCAGGACAATGTCTTGGGGTACCCTGACACTGGTGGCCAGGTTGTTTACATCTTGGATCAAGTCCGCGCCTTGGAGGAAGAGTTGCTTCACCGGTTCAAGCTGCAAGGACTCGACATTACCCCGCGTATTCTGATCGTAAGTGTTCGAATGTCATATCGATTTCGATTCTCGTTTTATCAGAATTTGTTTAACACTATGTTTGATGCTTACTTTGGCTGTTTTTTCCCACCAGATCACTCGACTTCTCCCTGATGCCGTAGGAACAACTTGTGGTCAGCGTCTCGAGAAAGTTTATGGAACCAAATATTCCCATATTCTTCGTGTACCCTTCAGAACGGAGAAGGGAATTGTACGTCAATGGATCTCGAGATTCGAAGTCTGGCCTTACTTGGAAACTTACACCGAAGATGTTGCAGCTGAGATTACCAAAGAGCTCCAGGGCAAACCTGACCTGATTGTTGGTAACTACAGTGATGGAAACATTGTTGCCTCTTTGTTGGCACATAAGTTTGATGTTACACAGGTTTGTTGAAGTCGAATTCATCGACTTAGTTAGATTTCCGTATTTTGATCCTTTCTCATATGGTCTAAGAACTTGTTCTTCAATGTTTCCTGCAGTGCACCATTGCGCACGCTCTCGAGAAGACGAAATACCCGGATTCGGACATAAACTGGAAACAGCTCGATGATAAGTATCACTTTTCTTGCCAGTTCACTGCTGACCTCATTGCAATGAACCAAACTGATTTTATCATCACCAGCACCTTCCAAGAGATTGCTGGAAGGTAACAAATATCTCCCACTTTACTACGTCGACACCTATTCGAGACGCTAACGACTTCGACGTCCCATGATTTTCAGCAAGGACACTCTTGGCCAATATGAGAGTCACATAGCTTTCACTCTTCCGGGGCTCTACCGTGTTGTTAATGGAATCGATGTGTTCGATCCTAAATTCAATATCGTCTCTCCCGGTGCGGACATGAACATTTACTTCCCTTACACGGAAGAGAACAGGAGGTTGAAGCAGTTCCACCCGGATATCGAAGAGCTTCTTTACAGCCCTGTTGAGAATGCAGAGCACTTGTGAGTTTGAGTCCTATTTTACACCCTTTTCACTATCTTATCTGCACAATGTTAACAATGTGTTTGGTTGCTGTTAACAGATGTGTCCTGAAAGATCGGAACAAGCCGATTCTGTTCACAATGGCACGGTTGGACCGTGTTAAGAACTTAACCGGACTCGTAGAGTTCTATGCCAAGAACAGCCGGCTGAGGGAACTCGTTAACTTGGTTGTAGTAGGTGGAGATAGGAGAAAGGAATCCAAGGACACAGAAGAGAAGGCCGAAATGAAGAAGATGTACGAACTTATCGAAAAATACGAGCTGAACGGCCAATTCAGGTGGATTTCATCGCAGATGAACCGAGTGAGAAACGGTGAACTCTACCGTTACATCTGTGACACCAAAGGCGCTTTCGTTCAGCCCGCAATATACGAGGCATTCGGCTTGACCGTCGTCGAAGCAATGACCTGTGGACTACCAACATTCGCAACTTGTTACGGCGGCCCCGCGGAGATCATCGTCCACGGCAAATCGGGGTTCAACATCGATCCTTATAAAGGCGATCTGGCCGCCGAGACACTCGTTAACTTCTTCGAGAAATGCAAGGCCGACCCGTCTCATTGGAATGAGATCTCAAAGGGAGGCTTGCAACGTATACAGGAGAAGTATA